CGCACGCCGGCAGATCGCGACTATATACAGCTAGTTAAGAGCCGACCGACCCTCGCGTCCGGTGCTCACCGACGGCGGGGCGGGCGCCCGCCCACGCGCCGCCTACGCGCAGCGCGTGCGCCGCAAACTCGCCCGCCGACAGCGCTGGCCAGTCTCCATCGGCCGTCGCGAGAGGCCTGCCCGGCTGTCGCCGCGGGGCCCCCACGAACACCACGCGTCGGATGCGGTGCCGCGCGAACTCGCGCGCAAAGTGCACGCCCCACGCCCGCCGCAGCGTCGTAGCGAAGTAGGACCGCGCCTCCTTCGCGCTACGCGCGCCGATCCGCCTCCAGTGCTGCTTGGATGCCGACTCCACCACACAGTCGAACAGCTGGTGCAGGTCGTCCGACGCCTCCGCGTAGGCCCCGACAACGAGGCTGCGCACGGTGCCAAACGAGCGCAGCACGGAGGAAACGGCGTCCCTCGAGCCGTTGTTCCATGCCTGCACGTGCGGCTTGGCATCGAGCGCCGCCGCCCGCGCCTCGTAGTCGCGCTGGACAAGGTTCGCCCTGTCGGCGACAGCGCCGCCCTGGCCATCGTCGCGCGCCCGAGCGCTCATGTAGTGAGGCCCGCCGCGGTGGATGGTCTTGCCCTCGAGGAGGTGCTCCGCCGGCGGCTGCTCGGGCCCGCGCTGCACTGTCGTGCCGCGCCACCGGACAGACGGATGCGCCTGGCCTCGTGTGCCCGTGCAGCGCGCCGTGCGGGACTCGCGCAGCTTGCAGTGCAGGCGCCCATCCGGCACGATGCCGTTCTTGCCGCGCGTGCCAGCTGTGCCGTTGAGTGTGACAGGCGGGATGACGGCGCTGAAGATCTCGCGCGGTTCCTCCTTGCCGCGCAGCCCCGCGTGCAGCGCATCACCGATCACGCGTGAGAAGATGTCGTCGTGGCAGTTGCCGTGGGCGCGGTCGTTGAGCGTCGCCAAGCCCAGCTGGACGCCAAAGGCATCGCAGACTCGAGGAGGGCCGCGGCCGGAGCAGGCGATGCTCTTGCCCACGAGCGCGCGCACGGCTGGGCTCTCCCGGCCGAGGTAGGTGCAGAAGATCTCGCGGAACTCGCGCGCCTCGCACCGGTTCTGAGCCGAGGGCCATGAGCTCACCCACGCGGACGAGAACGAGTCGACGGCCAGCCACGCCTCCCGCCGCGTGTCGCCGTGCGGCAGCCCGAGGATGCTGCGGCTGAGCTGGTTGCGCTTGACCTGCTCCCGCTGCTGCGTCAGCTGCCGCTGTAGCCCAGCGCTGCCGGCCCGCCCGTTGCCAGCCTCGGGAGCCCGGACATCGAGAGGTCCCGCCACGCCCTCGCCGCGGACCTCTCGCTGCATGCCCTCCCACGCCTTCTTGAAGGACTCGCCCGTCGGCGTCAGCTGCCCCAGCTGCGCGCCGAGCGGGTTGACGTTGGTGGTGCAGCCCGAGAGGAAGCGCGAGAGGCGAGGGCTGTTCGGGTACGGCAACTCGAAGGCGCCGTGGCCGAAGAGCGGAGCGAGCATCTGGAAGAAGCCGCGCTCTCTGCCGCCGCCGGGCGTCGACCTGTCGAGGAACCTCTCGGCCGCCTCGACAAAGCAGGCGCAGAACGCAGCCGGCGCCACCTCCTCGAGCGAGCGCAGGCCGAGGCCGCGCATCCGCGCAGGCAGGCGAGCCCGCCGCGCGGTGATGGCGTCGCCGAGCACGCCCTCGTAGCCGCACGCCTCAGCGGCACGGGTGAGCGCAGCGTCGACGACGCGAGCGTGGGACACCGTCTTGTCGGGAGGGAGGTGCCGAAGGATGAAGTCGAACTTGGCGGAGCAGGAGTAGTAGATGGCGGCCCACAGCGCGTGGGGGCTCGCAGCACGTAGCGAAAGAACTGTCTTGTCGATGTAGCTCACGATACTGCTCACCTGGGCGCGTAACCACGCATCCACAAACCCTGCCTCCCCCATTGGGCAGCCCGCGACCATCACGCCTCGGTACGTCCGCGACCCGCCATCCTCCTCCGGCACCAGCACCATGCCGACTGGCGCGCCCAACGCCTCCCGCCACGGGCAGTGCGAGAGGTTGTACTCGGGAGAGAAGCACTCGAGCTTCGAGACCTGCATCTCGAGGTTGAGCGACGCCTTGACCGCCTCGCCAAAGCGCTTGACCGCCGGGAACACGGCGGCCGCCGGTCCTAGCGCGAAGATGTCGTCCATCTCCGCCCAAGCCCCGCCACCGAACGGCCTCAGCTCGGCGTCGAGGGCAGCCAGCTCCGGCTGGATGGCGATGCAGAAGGCGCCGCTCGATGGAGGCCCGCCCTGCTGCGTGCCGGTCGCCGAGTCGCCGCCACGCGACGTCTCAGCGCGGCACGTCTGCCCCTCGAGGTGGTGCTGCTCAAAGAGCCGCGTCCGCTGGGGCCCGACGAGCAGGCTCGTCGCGGACATGAGCGTCGCGTGAAGAAGCGGCATGAACGGCGCCAGCTCCGGCACCTCCGAGCAGCGGCGGAGAAGCGCCGACCGATCGATCTCGTTGTACGCGTTTTTGAGGTCGATCTTGACGAGCACAAAGTCGCCTCGCTGCTCGAGCAAGATGCGGATCCCGTTGATCATGATCGAGATTCCGCCCGAGACTCCTACCGCCACCTGCTGTGTCTTTTCACAGAGTCATGTGTACTGGTATAGCGAGTAGCGTAGAAACCCGAGGAGTCACACAGTCCCTGTGTGATGCACGCCCTGTGAGCGGGGCGGGGTGCGCACTGCGCACTGTGCCTCTGTGTTCGTGCGTCGCCGCCGCCGCCCATCTCTCCGGGAGATGACTGCTCTATTTATTTATTCCCCATGTGTTAGATTTGTTTGGTATTCAACCTCTTTAAGGAAGCGGGCGAGGCGCGGCTGTCCAGGCACCAGGGCGGGCGGGGGCGGGCGGCGGGCCAGGCGGCGGGCGACGGCGCGCCAGAGGGTGGAACTTAGTATTAAATGGAGGAGCAGGGAATACTCGTGAGACACCTTCAGCTGATTGGTTGCGTTGAGGGTTCTCTCGCGGCTGATGACGAATTGCCGGAGAATGCTCGATGCGCCGCAGTTGCAGGCTCCTGCGCCACGGCCTCTTGCCGGGCGGAGCCACCGCCGATGGACGGGAAGTCGGCATGATGCCGATAGGCATGCCCGCCATGATCGCTCGGCGCTGCGGCGGCCACGCCACCTTGCCTGGCGGAGATACCGTCGCCAGCTGGGGCGCCGCCTGCGTGATGTCCGTCTACGTGATGCCGAGCGTGAGCTGTGCCGGCGTGCCCGCCGGACTCGGCGGGCTCTGATGGCTCGGCGGGTACCGGCGCTGGCTCGGTGTCGCCGCCATGCTGTAGCGCAGCCTCTCCTGCCAGCCACGCTGCGTGCACGCGCGAGGCGGGCTCCGGCGGTGGCGCACCGGGCGAGGCGTCATATAAATAAGTGTCGATGGTGGCGACGGCACCAGAGGCGGTGCGGTAGCTCAGTCGGTCCCTCCGCCGGAGGTCGGTCTCCAACAGGTGTTCCCCGCTGCTGTTGGAGCCGTAGACGCCAGTCATCGCGACGAGCGTAGTCAAGGCAGACATCGAGAACATAGCACACAACAAGAAGGCACCGGCCTTCCGCTGCCGGATTATGCTCTCGAGAGGCACCGGAGGCGGCGAGTCGCTCTCCAACTCGTCGTCCGACTGCTGTGCCGCATAAAACGCCTGACCGTCAGCCTCGCCTCCACGCTTTTCGCAAGCGCCGTAAACCGGCTCGGAGACCGTCATCATGCACTGTTCGGCGAGGCGCAGTCGAGGGCGCAACGTTGGCGTACGGCGTAGTGAACTGGAGGGCGCAAAGAAGTTGGGCGAGGCGAAGGGCGTCTCTCAAGACTGGGCGCGCGCTCGCTCAGCCATCCCAAACCCGGAAAAACAGACCCGCCGCTCGCGGTGCCGGTTGTGCGCTTCCTGGATCCTGCGGGACAAGGTTGTATGGTGACCGGCGGTCCCCGGAGGAGCTCGAGGAGCTGTGTCATCACTCAAAAACTTCTTACTGGTACGGACACGAGGGTCAGAGCGGCGAGAGTACACATACATGGCACATGCTGAAAGAGACCAGCTTCGGCTGAGGGCTAACAAGCTGCCGAGCCCAAATCACTGTGAGAGTCGTGATTTCTTGTTGGTTTCCTAAAATCTCTCTCACATGCTGCACTCTCGGGAACCGAGAGATGTAGCGAGAAAGAATGGATTTCAGGATGGCATGGAGCACGCACATGGCCCTAGTAGTAGTCCTTCATCTCCACATGCTCGGGCTCGCCACAGCACCGAGAGAGACAGCGGCACGCGAGGCAAACCGCGAGGCAAAATGCGAAAATGCCGCCCATCGCCGACCAAGAGACACTGATCCTGCTCTCTCACGGTGTGAGGTGTGAACAGCGCGTGGTCACGCCCCCTGCGAGGACAGTATCAACTGGGATTTTGGCAAAGATGTTGGTGGGTGGGAGAGGAAAGGTAAGGTAAAGGTAAACGTCTCCACAATCAAACACAAAGTGGTTTTGGTGGGGGGCCAGGGGGGGCGACCCTCTCACACCCGAGAGACCGCCGTTGCCCAAAGACGCACAAGCACAGACACAGTCGAGAAGTGAGAGACAGTCAGAAGGCAGCACTGGGTCCCAGGAAGGCGAATGAGATGAGCCGGATGACCGATGACGCTTGACGGCCACGAGCACATGTACATGCTCATGCATGTGCATGTTGATTGTTGTGCATGTCATGTGCACAACAAAAAACAACAAAATCTCTCTCTCTCTCTCTCCGCATGCTGCATGCAGTATAGTTCTCAGCAGACAGATGTCTACGGCCGGTTTGTGTCGACCCCCCCCCCACCCACGAAAGGCGCCGCCTGTACGAGCAGATTTAGCCGTATTGAGTCATCAGTACGCAGCTGGAGGGGGCTGAAGGGTTTGTTAAAAGAAAGAAAGCAGACAACCCAAGGGAGGGATGGGAGGACGGCACGCCGCCACCACACAGGGATTTTAAGGAGAGGAGTGTGGTGCTAGCCGTCGCCCACCCCAACCCTTGGTCGTCTGCCTCTTTCTATCTCCCTTCGCAGTCCCTCGCCGATTCTCGCTGCAACCTTCATGCCACCTCGGTCCTCGCGGTCCGTCCCACTCTCGTCGTTCTCCCTCCTGTCGCTTCCTCCTCTCTCGCGTCGCTCTCGTCTGCCTCGTCCTGCGACGCCGCCGCCGCCTGCCGATCCCTTGCTCTCGCGGCTTCTCCCGCCTTTCGGCGCAACTCTGCCGACTGCCCTCCTCGCGGCATATTTTGGCCCCTCGAGTTTATCGAGCTCTCCTCGCGCAAGCGACGACTCTTCTGACGCCCACTGCGATCATTTGGATACCCATCACTGAGCCGACAAATTCAATGCTACGGGTAGCCCCAGGGTGGCGCCCACCCCCATACCCTCGGGCACTTGGCCACTTGCCTGCGCCCTCACACGCGCTAGCCCACGCCCTGCCCCGCAAGATCTCACTCCATCCCGGCCTGCGGCATACCTCGGCACCCCCTTTCACGGAATCTGAGCGTGAGGGAATCTGAGCGTGAGGGAATCTGAGCGTGAGGGAACCTGGGCAGTGCCGCGTAGTGCAGCGTGCGCGCGGGCGGCGTGCGCGCACGTGCGCGGGCGTGCACGCACGTGCGCGGGCGGGCGCGTAGTGCTGCGTGGTGCAGCGTAGTGCCGCGTGCGCGCACGTGCGCGCACGTGCGCGGGCGTGCGCGGGCGTGCGCGGGCGTGCGCGGGCGTGCGCGGCATGCGCGGCCAGGGCGCAGGCAAGTGCCTGAGGGTATGGGGGTGGGCGCCACCCTGGGGCTACCCATAGCATCGTCGGCTCAGTGATGGGTATCCTTTGCCGCCAAGTCATATCGTTGCTCAGGTCCACTCTCTCTTCGAACACTTGTGGAGCACTTGGAGCACTTGGAGTGCAGTCATTAACCTCACATCCAGGGCCGGATCACCGCAAAACAGATTTCTTCTGGCATCCTGCCCCTCCCCGCTGGCCATGCCACGGCTCGAGGAGGTGCCTGAGCGCTTCTCCTTCCCAAAGGGGGAGGAGGAGATCCTCGAGTACTGGAAACAGAACGACACGTTCCACGAGTCGGTCCGGCTCTCCGAGGGGCGGCCGCCGTTCTCGTTCTACGATGGCCCTCCGTTTGCGACCGGGCTGCCGCACTACGGCCACATCCTGGCCGGCACCATCAAGGACGTGGTCTGCCGGTACGCGCACCAGACCGGTCACCACGTGCCGCGTCGCTTCGGCTGGGATTGCCACGGCCTGCCGGTCGAGTTTGAGATTGACAAGAAGCTCGACGTCAAGGGGCGGCAAGACGTGCTCGACATGGGAATCGCGACGTACAACGACGAGTGCCGCGCCATCGTGGGGCGGTACACCAAGGAGTGGGAGGTGACGGTCGGCCGCGTCGGCCGGTGGATCGACTTCTCCACCGGGTACCGCACGATGGACTTGTCGTACATGGAGACGGTGTGGTGGGTCTTCCAGCAGCTGCACGAGAAGGGGTATGTCTACCGCGGCTTCAAGGTGAGGATCGCCGCGGGACGCCCCGCCCTCCGAGGCACTCGCGGCACAGTGCCGACGCCTCGGCTCTCCCATCACCACCTCTGTGGAGGGTGGACACGTGCCTCGCCCCTCGCCCTCGCCCCTCACCCTCGCCCCTCGCCCTCGCCCCTCGCCCTCATCCCTCGCGCCTGCGCGCCGCTGCAGGTGATGCCCTACTCGTGCGCGCTCAACACGCCGCTCTCCAACTTCGAGGTGCAGCAAAACTACAAGGACGTCTCCGACCCCGCCGTCGTCGTCACCTTCCCGCTGCTCGGCGAGGAGGGGGCATCCTTCCTCGCCTGGACGGTGCCACTGTCACCCGCGAGACGCAGCCGAGATGCAGCCGAGATGCAGCCGAGATGCAGCCGAGATGCAGCCGAGATGCAGCCGAGATGCAGCCGAGATGCAGCCGAGGTGCAGCCGAGGTGCAGCCGAGGTGCAGCCGAGGCGCAGCCGAGATGCAGCCGAGATGCAGCCGAGATGCAGCCGAGATGCAGCCGAGATGCAGCCGAGGCGCAGCCGAGGCGCAGCCGAGGCGCAGCCGAGATGCAGCCGAGATGCAGCCGAGGCGCAGCCGAGGCGCAGCCGAGGCGCAGCCGAGGCGCAGCCGAGGTGCAGCCGAGGTGCAGCCGAGGTGCAGCCGAGGCGCAGCCGAGGTGCAGCCGAGGCGCAGCCGAGGCGCAGCCGAGGTGCAGCCGAGGTGCAGCCGAGGTGCAGCCGAGGTGCAGCCGAGGTGCAGCCGAGGTGCAGCCGAGGTGCAGCCGAGGTGCAGCCGAGGTGCAGCCGAGGTGCAGCCGAGGTGCAGCCGAGGTGCAGCCGAGGTGCAGCCGAGGTGTGACTCTGGCCGCCGCACCTCGTTCTCTCCATCTCTTCTCGCCTCCCTTCGGCGCTGAGCCCGCCCTCCCGCGCAGACGACGCCGTGGACGCTGCCGTCCAACCTCGCCCTCTGCGTCAACCCGGAGCTCGAGTACGTGCGCATCCGCGAGGAGGCGAGTTGAGAGGGGCCGAGAGGAGCCGAGAGGCGCCGAGAGGCGCCGAGAGGCAGCCGAGATGCGCCCATGCGCGTGAGCTGACGCACGCACGCACGCACGCTCACACACACACACACACACACGCGCGCGCGCGCGCGCGCACGCACGCATGCACGCTCACGCACACACAGACACAGACACACACACGCGCGCGGCCTGGCCAGCGTGCGGAGAGCAGTTCCCCTCGCCCCACTTCGCCTCGCCCCGCCTCTCCTCACCTCCCCTCGCCTCGCCTCCCCTCACTTCCCCTCGCCTCGCCCCGCCTCGCTTCCCCTCGCCCCGCCTCGCCTCGCCTCACCGCCCCTCCCTTCCCCTCGCCTCGCCTCACTTCCCCTCGCCTCCCCTCGCCCCGCCTCAGGCGACCGGCGCGGTGTACATCCTGCTGGCGACGCGGCTGGTACAGCTCTACTCGGAGCTCGCAAACCCGAAGAAGGCGGCCGACGCGCGCAAGAAGTTCAGCGAGGTCGAGCGGATGAAGGGCTCGGCGCTCGCGGGCGTGGAGTACGCGCCGCCCTTCGGCTACTTCGAGGCGCGGCGCGCGTCCGGCGCGTTCCGCGTCATTACGGGCGGCTTCGTCACCGATGACTCGGGCACCGGCATCGTGCACTGCGCACCCGCCTTTGGCGAGGAGGACTACAAGGCGTGCCTCGAGCACGGAGTGATCCGGCGCGGCGAGCCCCTCGTCTGCCCCGTCGACGCGGACGGGCGGTTCAGCGACGAGGTGCCCCGCGCACTAGATGCGCAGCCAGATGCTCGCCCAGATGCTCGACTCCGCGTCCCTGCCTCCTCCTGGGCGGGAGCCAGAGGGGCGAGGCGGGTTCGGCTGCTCTCGGCCGTGTTCGCAGCTCTCGTTGTCCCGCGAGACGCAGGCCTGCGATTGCACGCCGCCGTGCTCGCACCCCGACGCTTGTGCGTGTCGCGCTGCAGGTGCCCGAGTGGCGGGGGTTGGGCGTCAAGGAGGCGGACAAGCACATCATCGCTCACCTCAAGGCGCAGGGGCGCATCATCAAGGTGGGTGGGGTGGCGGGCGGGTGGGCGGGTGGGCGGGTGTGGTGGGGTGGGCACCATCTCCGGCTTGGAGAGGATGGGGGAAGACCATTGCCGCCCCCCGAGGGCGAGGAAGAGAAGGAGCACGAGGTAGCGCACGGGCACATAGGTGGACGTCATCAACCACTCGTACCCCTTCTGCTGGCGCTCGGACACGCCCCTCATCTACCGCGCCGTCCCGGGCACCTTCGTGGCGGTCGAGGCCATCAAGGAGAAGCTGATCGCCAACAACAAGCAGACGTACTGGGTGCCGGGCCACGTACGGGAGAAGCGCTTCCAGAACTGGCTCGAGAACGCGCGCGACTGGGCCGTCTCGCGCAACCGCTTCTGGGGGACGCCGATCCCGATGTGGGTCTCGGACGACGGCGAGGAGATCGTCGTCGTCGGCTCCAAGGAGGAGCTTGAGCGGCTCTCTGGCGTGGCGGTGAGCCTAACCCTCACCCTAACCCTAACCCTCACCCTCACCCCAACCCCAACCCTAACCCCAACCCTGACCCTGACCCTAATTCCAACCCTACCCCTAACCCGGCACCCCACCCCCTGCCCCGCCTCCGCCCCCGCCCCCGCCCCCTATCCCTCCACCCCTGGCCCCTCAACCTTTGCGGGAGAGGTGGCCGGGGGTCGAAGGTCTCTTCACAGCGCTGGAGGGTGTGAACAGGTGAGCGACCTACACCGCGAGTTCCTCGACCACATCGAGCTCCCCTCGCAGCAGGGCAAGGGCACCCTCAAGCGCGTCGACGAGGTCTTCGACTGCTGGTTCGAGTCGGGCTCGATGCCGTACGCGCAGCAGCACTACCCCTTCGAGAACAAGCAGACGTTCGAGGCCTCCTTCCCGGCCGACTTCATCGCCGAGGGCATCGACCAGACACGCGGCTGGTTTCGACATGTCCGACCCCCCCTCGCTCGGGGCGTATTTCTTTTGGATGCATATTTCTTTTTTAGGTTCTACACCCTCATGGTGCTCTCGACCGCCCTCTTCGACAAGCCCGCCTTCAAGAACCTGATCTGCAACGGGCTTGTGCTCGCGGCCGACGGCCAAAAGATGTCCAAGCGCAAGAAGAACTACCCCGACCCCGTCCTCGTGATCGACTCGTACGGCGCGGACGCGCTGCGGCTCTACCTGATCAACTCGCCCGTCGTGCACGCCGAGGACCTCTGCTTCCGCGAGGCGGGCGTCATGCAGAACCTCAAGTCGATCTTCCTCCCCTGGCGCGCGCCGCGCCCGCCCGCCGCGCCCGCCCGCCGCGAGCGCAATGCTCACGCCCTCCGGCCGCGAGCAGGTACCACGCCTACCGGCTGCTGGTCGCGTCGGTGCGCACGGCCGAGGCGAGGGAGGGCGCCAGCTTCGAGCCGAGCGTCGGCGAGGCGCTCGGCTCGGCAAACCTGATGGACAAGTGGATCCTTGCCGCCGCAAACGGGCTCGTCCGCTTCATGCGCGCCGAGGGAGGAGCGTGCGCCCGCTGCACCCGCGCCCCTCCTCGGGGACCCGTCTCGGGGCCTTGCTCGCAGGCGCGCCGAGATGGAGGCGTATCGGCTGTACACGGTCGTGCCGCGGCTGGTCGAGCTCATCGACCAGCTGACCAACTGGTACATCCGGATGAACAAGGACCGCTTCTCGGGCGAGCGCGGCGCAGGCGAGCGGCGCACGTCCCTCTGCACGCTCTTCGAGGTGCTCATGATGCTCTGCCGCATGATGGCGCCGCTCACGCCCTTCTTCGCGGAGCACGTCTACCAGAACCTGAGGCGGGTGGTGCCCGACGCGCCCGCCTCGGTGCACTTCCTGATGATCCCGGAGGTGAACGAGGCGGCCATCGACCCGCAGATGGAGGCGGACGTGCGGCTGATGCTGCAGGTCATCGAGAAGGGGCGGACGCTCCGCGAGCGGCGCGCGCTCTCGACCCGCACGCCGAACAAGGCGTGAACGGCGTCTCTTCACAGCGGCGAGCCGTGAGCAGGCACACGCTCTCGACCCGCACGCCGCTGCCCGAGGTGACCTTCGTGAGCGCAGACGCGGTGGCGCTCCGCGCGGTCGAGACGCTGCACGAGTACATCGCCGACGAGCTCAACGTGCGCCGCGTCCAGACGGCGCCGCTCGCTGAGATGGGAGGCGCGGCGGCATAGATGCTGGACGCGGGATCCCCGTGTCGGAGCAGGAGGAGACGACGCCGCACTCGGCTGTACCCCACTGTCTTCCCAAGTACTCACGCCGTGTCCACTGCGTTCGTGGCGCGTGTCTCCCCACGAGGCGCGGGAGTGCGATGCACGGCGCTGTGTCGGTAGGCCGGGTGGTCCTCAAGTGCATGCCCAACCACAAGCGGCTCGGGGACCGGTTCGGGAAGGCGTACAAGGGCATCCAGGGCAAGATCCGCGCGCTCGACACCGACGCGCTCGCCGCCTTCTTGCGCGAGGGCTCGCTCACGCTCGAGGGCGAGACCTTCGACAAGGAGGACATCCTCGTGCAGCTGCAGTACAGCGGCGACAAGTCCCACGACGCGGACGGCGTCGCGGGCGGCCTCGTCATCCTCAACGTGTCTCCCGACGCGGCGATGCTCGATGAGGCGATGGCGCGCGAGGTTTGCGCAAAGGTGCAAAAGATGCGCAAGGAGGCGGGGCTGCGCAAGGAGGACGCGCTCGAGGTGGCGTACAGCTGCCCGGCCGACTCATCGCTCCTCGCCCGCGTCCTCCGCGACCAGTCCGCCTACATCGCCGGCCGCATCGGCCGCACGCCCATCCCGGGCGCGGCGCGGCCGCGCCGCGCCGTCTCGCTGCTGCGCGACGAGGAGGAGGTGCGCGTCAAAGTGCTCGTCGACGGAAAGGTCCAGCAGAAGACGGAGCCGCTCGTGCTCGAGCTGCTCGCCGGCTGCCCGATCCTCGGCAGCAAGGCGGCCGAGGCGCTGCCCGACCCGTCCCTGCTGGACGACGTCGAGAACTACGTGCACTGCCTCGACTACGCGCGGCTGCGCGGCACGCTCGAGCGGGAGGGCGTGCTCAAGGTGGGGCTCAACGGCCACGCCTTTGAGCTGAAGCGAGGCGAGCACCTCTTCCTGTCGTACTCGGAGGCGGCGGCCGTCGGCGGCGTCTGACGAGCAGGCGTCCTCGACTCTTGTCACCTCGAGAGACCTCAGAGGAGCGGCCATGCTCGAGAGGATGGGTCTCCTCGCACCCGGGTGCGCAGGTCTCTTACCGGGTCTCTCTTGAGTCTTGTGTTCACCTCTAATTCCTACTCCCGCCTTTGCTGTTTTTTATTTTAATTTTTATTGATTTTTTAGGGCGCTCTCGGCGCTCTCAAGCCTCCTAAACCACTGGGCACGGGGGAAAAGGACAGGTACGAGCCGCAAGACGCGAATGATTCATTCCATCAAAAAATACTGATCTCATCGATTTATGCGATCCGATGGACGGGCGGAAGGGGCGACCCGACTTCTATGCCGACCACCATCTCCTATGGCAAGCACACCACGCCCTCCATCAAGCCGGTGCCGGCCTCCCCGGCGGGCGGCGGAGGGAAGAAGATCGTCGAGATGACCGGGTTTGGCGAGGTCCTCCGCAGCGCTATGGAGGTGCGGCCTCCTCGTGCAGCTCCCTCCCCCGACCGGCCCCAGCTGGCATTGCGTTTGTCCGATGCGCCAGGTGTTTAAGCACAACGTCCGATACGAGATCGGCAAGGCCATACTCGAGTGTGCCACATGGAGAATCGTTCTCGACAAAGAAGAATGCAAACACCTACAGCCCGATCTGCACCAGTGCGCCCCGCCGCCTTGCCATGAGAGTTGTACCTGGTGTACCCGCGAGATCGGGTGGCGCTGCGCCGGCTGCGCAGGCGCGGAAACGTGCGCTCGGTGCGACCCCGGCTCTCCCTGCCAGGTGGGTGGAAACCGAGTCGGGCGACCAAGGCATCACGTACATGAAGAACGTGCTAAATGAGCCTCTGAACAGGGAGCACGGGCAGCAGAAGGACTATAACGAGGTGAAGAATATTCTGAAGGACGGGGGCGACCTCATCGCGCGGATCACCAATCAGCGATGCTGGCAGATCCGGGAGACGCTGGAGACAGAGTACCTTTATCCGGGGCACTCTGCCTTCTTATTCAAAAACGGATGGGAGGTCAGTGAGGACTTCACGTTCAAACTCACGTTTGATGCGCTAAAGGTAACCGGTGAAACCGGCTCTGACAAGAGCGACGCGCTCAACTTCTGGGACAAAGATATCATCGAGGAGCTGGAGTACATGCTGAAAGATGTGACGTTCGAGATGCCGGGCGCGGACTTTGACCCCGATGCCAAGTGGATCGAGAGCGTCGCCGGCGAGAAGAACCCCGAGCCAAACCGGACAATCTACATGACACAGGCGCGGCTAGAGCCCCGCCCCCTGCCCGGACTCGGGCGACACCTGTCCACGCCGATGTCGTCGCCAACGCTGCCTCTGTTGTCCATCCCCATCCACAGGAGGTTGGCCTCAGCATCAAGTTCCACGAGGCGAGCCTCGAGAGTCGAGTATCCGCCGTCAGGGGCGAGGCCGAGCTCGGATCGGGTCCCGTTTCTTCCGTAGGGAGTCAAGATGCAATTCGAGTCGCACAACCATGCGATTCCATCCTTCGAGGTAGCCCTTCCCCTCCCGACCCTCCCACCAAATCGACAAACATATGCTCACCCCCCTCCCCACGTACTTCACCCTGTTCCGACAGATCGACCTCAAAAATCACTGCGTCCGCATCAAGGGCCTTCGTGTGCGTGGGGAGTTGAAGGTGGATGAGGCCGAAGGGGATGACAAACATGACGACCAAAACCGGCCTGACAAGACCGAGTTTGCCTTTGGAGTCAAGCTCTGGGTCGTCAACAAGAGTACAGAGTGGGACATGGATTGGAAGTTCGACGTCAAACTGAACAACGGGGGTTGGTTCGACCCAACTCTCCCCGACTTTATCACTGAGGATTGGCTAAAGGGAGTCCTGGAGGCCTTCATATCGGATATTTCGGGAGAGGTGTGCTATAATTGCTGAGCCGAAGAGGGGAAGGGGATGGCGGCCACGGTCGGCCCACCCTCGCTTCGCTGCCGAATCAGGCAACGTACGTCCCTCCCCCTAACGCCCTCTTCATCCGCTTTCAAAACCGCGAGATGGATATGGACGAGCTTATGAACACAATTCCGGCGCGCGCCCGCTCCTCCAATGTCGACCGACGCACTTTCGTTCACCCCCGATCCATGAGCACCTTAGGAAATCGAGGGGATCCTCACGGACGGAACTGGTTACTGCTTCAAAAACTGCGTCAACAACTGCTTTAAAAACTGCATGGACGGATCCTGCGTACGCAGCTCCCTGCCCTGTTGCGGCACGCAACCTGATTACCGCCCGCCACTCACGCCTGTCCGGCCCCCGCCGCGCCCGACCGCAGTTGAAGGACTGTTGGCAGACCGCCTGCTTTTGCGCGACGTGTGCGGCCTGTGTTGGCACTGGCCAACCGTGCTGGGACTGCATCGCCGACTCAGATTGCTGCCCCAAGAAAGAACCTGAGCCAGAAAGCTAGTCCCCGCCTGCGACGCGGCGCAACTATGCGACGGGAGAGCGATCGCGGGCGCGCGATCGCCGGCCACACAACTCTGCCATCAGTCAGTACTCAGCGCATGACTCTAGAGACGACAGGACTCAGGACCATGCTCACCAATGCTCAGGACTCAGCCCCGCGCAAGGGCCGTTTAGGCCTGCGAGCTCTGCGCTCCGTTAGCGCTGGTTCGAGTGTGTGCCACGCCGCACACCCTTCCGCCCCCTTCCGGTGCGCAGTGTGACCAGTGTGCCGGTGTTCCTCCCGGCTCTCTTTTACGTGCAACGTGGCATAGTCTCATCCACGCAGTACGGTAGTATGTTTGCCGACTCTCGAGCTACACACACTGATGCCGCAGGGCGAGGGGGCGGGGGGGGGGGCGCAGCGGACAGAGTAGACAGCACAAAAACACCCGGAAAAAGCGACACTCACATCTCTCTCTCTCACTCCCCCGGCGGTCCACACTGCTTGTCGCGCCGTGTGCCTCTCGGTGGCTCGAAGCAACAAGCATGGCGCCGCTCCTCCGGACCTCCGCGCCGCATTGACCCGCCCTCCGCACGCAAGAAGAGAAAAGGGCCTAGTTTCCCCTATGCGAGCGCAGGCGCCGAGCGCCCCGCAGGCGAGAAGGCCGTCAGACCGCCATGTCCATCTTGATCTTGCCGTGCGACTTGTACCCGACGAGCTCCAGGTCGGCAAAGGTGCACTCCTCGATGGACGTCACCGCGTCGGAGATGCGCAGCTGCGGGAACAGGAGCGGCTCGCCTGCGGCCGGCAGTCGCAGCGGGGCGCGTCACGGACGGTCCCACCGGCGCAGGGGGCACGAGGCTGCGGCGGGGAGGCGCGCACGGGTGAGCTGCTCGCGCAGCGCGGTGACGTGGTTGTTGTACACGTGCGCGTCGCCAATCACGTGCACGAAGTCGCCGCGCTTGAGCCCCGTCACGTGCGCGAGCAGGCAGGTGAGCAGCGCATACCTGCAGGGCGGGGGCGTGGAGCGGCGGCGGCGTGGAGCGGGGTGCGTGGAGCGGGGTGCGCGGAGGAGTCGGCGGCGTCGGAGGCGGCGGCGGCGGCGCGATGGGGGCGATGGGGCGGGCGCGCGCACGAGGCGATGTTGAATGGGACTCCGAGGCCGAGGTCGGCGGAGCGCTGGTACATCTGGCACGAGAGCTCGCCGTTGGCCACGTAGAACTGCGCAAACATGTGGCACGGGGGGAGCGCCATCTTGGGCAAGTCCTTTGGGTTCCACGCCGACATGATGATGCGCCGGTCGTACGGCTTCTCCTTGAGCGCGCGGACCACCTACTCACACGCGGCCGCCGTGAAGCGCGTCGGCTCTCGCGCGCCGCCTTGGCCTCTCGAGCGCGCGGGCGGCCTGCGCGATCTGGTCGACTCCCTTGCCGGTGTAGTCGGCGTGCATGTCGGTGTACTCGGCGCCAAAGTGGCGCCACTGCCAGCCGTACACGGGCCCGAGGTCGCCAACCTCCCGCTCGGTCAGGCCGATCGAGTCGAGGTAGTCGCGCGACGAGTTGCCGTCCCAAATCTTGATGCCCTTGTCCTGCGGGGGGGGGTGAGTGAGGCGGAGCGGGAGGCGGTGGCGAGGAGTGAGGCGGCGGCGGGCGGGTGGAAGGCGGCGGGGTAGTGAGAGGCGGCGGGGAGTGGGAGAGGTGGCAGGAGGACGAGGCGGCCGGGAGCGGCTCCTGCAGCGATTTAGCGCTCGTGTCGCCCGACAGGAACCAAATCAGCTCCTCGGCGACGCCGCGCCTGCAGCAGGGCTCGGCGAGATCAGCCGAGGTCCAGCCCGAGAGGCGGCTCCAGCGGCTCCGCGACGCCGCGCCAGAAGACGGTCTTTGTCGTGAGGAGGGGGAAGCGGTCGCGCAGCGAGAAGCGCATCTGCGCACCAAACTTGCCGCGCGTGCCTGTGGGGAGAGAGGCGAGGGCGGGAGGGGAGCGTGCCGATGCCGGCCCGGTGGCGTGATCTCGGGTCCAACCTCGTGCGATCTCGTCCAATCTCGTGCGATCTCGCATCTAGGAGCGTTCCGATGCCGGTCCGGTCAGGACGCGACACGCCGGATTCGATCACCTCGCGCACCTTTTGGGGCGGGGGAGAGTTGGAGAGGGGTGGAGGAGGGAGGGAGGGGCGGGGCGGGGCGTGGGGGGCGTGGGGGGTGGCGGGGGGAGGCGTGTGGTGTGTGGGACAGGGGGCGGGGGGCAGGCTTGCCAGGTCGAGGTACTGCAGCTCCTCGTGCGGCGCCGCCGCTGGCGGGCTCTCGCGCGACTCGAAGGCGAGGAAGCGGTAAGAGAGACCTAGACTCGGACCGCACGCACCGCGCGTCAGGAAGGAGGCACCTCCGCACGCCCGGCCGCGGCTCGCTGTGGGAGAGGCGCCGTTCTCATCGCGCGGCGCCGACGCGCTCGCCTGGCGCCACGTGTCGGCCGGCAGCGGCGGGAAGTGCGTGTCGCACCCGAACGGGTCGTCGCTGCCGCCGACGCAGCCGGCGGCGGCGGCCTCTGTGGCGGGGCCGACGGCGGCGGCGGCGGCGGGAGGGGCGGCGCCTGCGCACGAGTGCGGTCGTCGGCGGAAGGGGCGCAAGCGAGAGGGCGAGAGAGGGCGCGGGAGAGGGCGCGAGCGGGCGCAGGAGAGGGTGGCAGGGCGCTAGGGCGCGACAGACGCAAGGGAGCGGGGGTCGCGGCGGGGATGGGAGGGCGCCGGGCAAGCGGCGGGTGGGCTGGGAGCGAGGCGGCACAGGCGGGAGGCGCGCTCTCGCCGTTGGCGTCCCGGAGCGGCGCGTGTTTGGAGACCTCGGTGTAGTAGACGCGCTCACAGAGCTGGGGGAGGTCGACCGCTTCGGCGTAGACGGACGAGCCGCCGATCACAAAGACCGACTCGACCGATGCCGCGTAGTCGCCCTCGCAGAGCTGCTGGAGTGCGTCGCCGAGCGAGGTGGCGAGGAGGACCTTGTCGCCCATGCCGTAGAGCTCGCGTGCGGCGGGGTTGGCGGAGATGACGACGTTGAGCCGGTCGCCCAGCGGCCGCATCTTCTCGGGGATCGACTCCCACGTCTTGCGCCCCATGATGACGGCATTCTGCTTGGTCGGGTCGCGCGTCGAGCGCGTGAGCTGCTTGAAGTACTGCATGTCGCCGCGCAGCCGCCACGGCAGCTGGTTGCTGACGCCAATCCCGCGGCTCTGCTTGCAGGCCGCCACAACGACCGAGAAGCGGCGGCCACCCTCCTTCGCTGGCTTGCTCACGACCATGTTTTGCCCGCGCTGAACTACACACCACTGATGTCAAGGGTGACTGGTCTCGCGGGTAGGACTGGTCTCGCTTTTTTGGCGCTCAAGTGACCTGAGAAAAAAGAAGTCGAAGCCGCACACAACAGAGGCGGACGCCCAAGGGTGGGCGACGGCTAGCGCACCACACCCCTCTCCTTAAAATCCCTGTGTGGTGGCGGCGTGCCGTCCTCCCATCCCTCCCTTGGGTTGTCTGTTTTCTTTCTTTCTTCCTCTAGCACACTGGCACGACAAGGGCGCGGACTGGCGCGGACTGGCACACACACCGGCTCACCGAAAAAAGAAGAGACGTGAAAGAACGACGAGAGTGGGAGTCAAGCGGCGCCGGACTCAAAAGTGAAAAGACACCGCCACATTCCTGAGTCGCTGAGACGCGCGAGGGCAGCCTCCTTAAAGGCAATAGGGTCTAGATTCGGAGCGCTCGCCGAAGAGGAGTACGACAAAATAGCGCCCGTGATTGCCTGCACACTGGTCACTGCCCGCACTCACGGACCCCATACCCGAAAGAAAGAGAGGGGAGCTCGCGGGAGAGGTGAGTCAGACGAGTGAACTCTACAGCGTACAGGTAGTGGGGAAGGCAGCCTCGATTGCCATACAGACATGGGTGCGAAACAACGACAAGACCAAGGCACGGGCAGAGGAACGAGAGAAGAATATAGGGTGGATAAAGCGCCTGTTCACGGCATGGAGGGTGAGCGCCGAACGCAAGGAAGACGGGGAAGACGACCCCGAGGTGCGAGGAGGACGAAACACCTGTGGTAATTCCGTCGTCAGCTGTCACGATGCACCCGAAGGGGACCCCAGCACCAGCATCATCCGTGAAGGCACAAGTGTTCGAAGAGAGAGTGGACCTGAGCAACGATATGACTTGGCGGCAAATGATCGCAGTGGGCGTCAGAAGAGTCGTCCTTGCGCGAGGAGAGCTCGATGGACTCGAGGGGCCAAGATATGCCGCGAGGAGGGCGGAGTTGCGCCGAAAGGCGAAAGAAGCCGCGAGAAAGGGACCGGCAGGCGGCGGCGGCGTCGGCCGTCGCACTCGCAGAACGAGGCAGACGAGGAGAGCGACGCGACAGAGGAAGAAGCGACAAGCACAAGCTAGGGAAAGAACGACGAGAGTGGGACGACCGCGAGGCCGTGGCATGGAAGGTTGCAGCGAGAATCGGCGAGAGACTGCGAAGAGAGATAGGAAGAGGCGGACGCCCAACCCCAAGGGTGGGCGACGGCTAGCGCACCACAGTCCACACTCCTCTCCTTAAAGCTTAATTAAAATCCCGGGAGTGCGAGTGGTGGCAGGTGGCGCGGCGTGCCCGGCGTGCCGTCCTCTCCACCATCCCTCCCGCTTTGGGTTGTCCGTCTTCTTTCTTTCTTTCTGGGAGTCAAAACAAGCACCCACGGCGAGGCTGCCGCGCAACACAGAGCAAAGACAAACGATATGTGTGTGGGTATTAACGTCACAAGCGACAAGGCGACGTCACGATGCTGCATGCCTATGCTATGGCCATGCGGCATGTGTGTGTGAACTAGAGGTGTGTGGAGATCGGGAACTGTGGCCCCGGCGGATGCGGCACATCAGAAGTGTGGCACACGCACAGACAGCAGACGGTTGTGTGTTCCGTTCGTTCGGCCTCGACTATCTCAGAGGTCCGTGGTCCAAAACATCGAGCTCATCGCTCAGGGCGGCAAGCCGCGCGTCTCGCCCCCCCCCCCCGCTCGCTCACGAGGGGAGGGTGGAGGTGGGCGGCGGCGGCGGCGGCGATACTAGACTGGCGTTGCAGCAGCGGCAGCGGCAGCAGCAACGGCGGCGGCGGCCGCTGCCGTCGCAGCGGCAGCGAGGCGCGGCGCGCCGCCGCCGATGCCGGAAGGCAGGGCGCCCGCGCCCGCCGCCGCCGCCGCCGCAACCGCAGCGGCCGCGGCGGCGTTGGCAGCGGCGGCCGCTGGGTCGACGGCGGTGGCGAGAGGAGCGGCCGCTTTCGCCGCCGGGAGAGCAGCGGCGCCGGCGGTGTCGTGCGGCGGCGAGGCGGGCGCGCGCGAGGGGGCGGCGGAGGCGGCGGCGGAGGCGGAGGAGGAGGAGGTGGCGGAGGCCGAGGCGGCGGCGGCGGAGGGTGAGGAGGTGGCGAAGCTGGCGAAGGCGGATGTGGAAGCGGCTGGAGATGGCTCCGACGCCGAGGACGAGGAGTCCGTCTCGACGGCGGGCGGCGGCTCGAGCGGCGCGTGGAGGGGGAGGCGGGGCGGCACGTGGGGCTGCACGGGGGAGCCGCGCGGCTGCTGGTCGAGCACCTTTGGTGGGAGTGCGAGGTCCGGAGGGAGCTGGTCCGACATGAGGACGTCGAGGTCGGGGGTGCAGAGCAGTGTGACGTCGAGGTCCTCGATCTGGAGGCAGACGGAGGGCGATGTGACGGGGAGGCGCGGTGCAGAGGTGTGGGGGCAAGGTGTGGGGCAGAGGTGCGGGCCCGGAGGAGGGCAGGGGGGGGGCGGGGGGGGCATCCGGGGGGGGCATCCGGGGGAGGCTCCGGCGTCTGCACCTCGGCGCGCGGGAGAGAGTCGAGCGAGTCGGACCCGATTGGCCTCTTGCGCCCCCGCGCCGCGTGGGAGCCGTGCAAGGCCTCGAAGGTGCTGGGCGTCCGGTCGAAGAGGAGCTCGCCAAACGCGTCCGCCGCCCCGCGGTCCAGCTTTGGCGCCGAGCTCCTCCTCCCCTTTTTGATGCCACGTGAAGTGTTGCTCGACGACGAGCTCCGGCTGGCGCAGGGCCACGGCTGGATCGGCGGGAGCGGCGCCGCGACCCTCGCTGCGTCCTCGAGCGGCTGGTGGTGCGGGCCGATCAGCCCGATGCTCCACCCAAAGGCCACAGAAGGGTTGAGTCTCGCTAGAGCGACGACTTCCCGCCGCAGCTGCGCCGCCCGCACCATAGTGTCCGGCCTCGGAGGACTCGCCTTGCCAAGCCCTGCCGAACCGGGGCCGGCGTCGGTGATGACCTCGGTCGGAGGGTCAGCGACGTGTCCTCCCATCTCAACAATTCATGTCATTGCCATTGCACCGCCAGCTGGGAGCATCTGAGGAGTATCGAAGTCCTCTGAGGGCTGCGCGATTTCTTTTTATTGTAGCGAGTTAAGCTCAAAAGAAATAAAAACCGCACGTCCAAGCGTAAACTATGCGCGTAGGTGGCAAATTTCGTACAGTATCTTCTTGGTTCTCCCCCTTGCTTGTCCCGCGCGCGCCTTGAAGCGTGCGCCGCCGCTGGGCGCGTCAACCGCCGCTGCATTTGGCTCTCTTGCCGTTCACATCGCCGGTGGACATAACGATGCGTGCTGCTCCGCCCGAGTCGCCGCCGACCGCCCCACGGTCGGCCAAGCCCACGCGTGATTACATTCAGCGGCGCCGAGAGGAGGTGGAGCAGGGGAAGGAGGCCGACGAACCGGGCCCCATCAAGCGCGACGTGAACGTCGTCCTCCGGGCGTGGCATTGGATCGCGAACCACCTCATGTGGGTTGGCACCAGCCTGCCACCCACCCCGGACAAGAGCTTTGGCCTCATCGCCGTCAATCTCAGCCCCTTCGGCTTCCAAATCCTCTACCAGTCGGTGATGAACGTGGCTGGCGATACCAAGGAGGGCCTGCTCAAGTGCGTCCTCCTCCGCGACGCCGCAGGCGGCTGGAAGCGCCCAGAGCCAAATACCGCTGGCCAGTTCTGCGACAGGTCGTTGGCCAAATGCGCCGGGTCGATCAAGCTCTGCGGGGTGAGTCGCCTCATCGCGCCCCGTGGCACCGCATAATACGCGAGTGGCTCCCTGAAATCTCACTCGAATCACTTTTTTTCTCAGGCCTGCGGCGCGAACCACGGCGCCCTCGAGGTCGTGGTCGGACCGCAGGGAAGCCCGCTGGCCTACCTCGCTGTGTGTAAGCCTGGGCTGGGCCTGGTGACATCGCAGGCATTGGGCCCGGTCGCCGGGTTCTCCGTGGATTCGGCAGGCAACATCCTTGGAGTGGACGGCGGAGAGGTGCAGTACCCGCCGCCACCCAAGTGCTGCTGCGCGTTTGACTCGCTTGGGCCGTGACAGAGAGGCTGTGAGGCCGCGTAGATTTTCTTTTTTCTTTTTGCAAAAAAGAAATAAATTGCCCCTTGCCGCACCAACCGCGCCGCTAAAGCGAGCCCACGGGCTGGTAGCCTCACCGCAGTGCACTGCGCTCCGTCCCTGACGTCTAGTGAGGAGGGTGTTGAGACTTGTCCATGAGCGCCTCCGCCATCGCGGCCAAGCTCAAGCTCAAGAGGCAGGCGCCCGAGCAGCAGGCGCCGAGCTCCTCCAAGGCCTCGCGCACGGAAGCGCCGGCCGCCGCGCCCGCGCCTGTTACCTTTGCTGAGGGCGAGGCGGTCCTCGGAAACTTCAAGGGGATGGGTGACTGGGACGAGGCGGTGGTGGTGGGCGTCAAGCCGGGCGGCCTGTATGTGCTCGACTACACCGACGAAGGGCTGATCGAGGAGGACGTCCCCGCCTCGCGCATCATGAGGCAGGGCGGCGCGGGAGCGGCGGACGTGGCAGAGGCGCTGGCGGGCGAGGCGCCTGTTACCTTTGCTGAGGGCGAGGCGGTCCTCGGAAACTTCAAGGGGATGGGTGACTGGGACGAGGCGGTGGTGGTGGGCGTCAAGCCGGGCGGCCTGTATGTGCTCGACTACACCGACGAAGGGCTGATCGAGGAGGACGTCCCCGCCTCGCGCATCATGAGGCAGGGCGGCGCGGGAGCGGCGGACGTGGCAGAGGCGCTGGCAGCCGCGCCGGCGCCCCCTGCCGCTGCCGGCGCTTCCTCGAACGATGGCCGCGCCGATGCAGCAGGCGGCAGCGCGGCGGGACGCGGCGGGGCGGGCGGCGGGGCGGGCGGCGCGAAGCCAGCGTCATCCGAGTCCGAGTCCGAGTCCGAGGAGGAGGAGAGCCCCGAGTTTCTGAAGAGCTCGGTGTGGCGCGGGCACCGCCCCGGCTACGTCTTCAAGCGGGGCGTCCTCTCGGGCGGCGAGGCTGCGCAGCGCCTAGACGCTGAATACGTGTTCATGTATCCCAACCAGCACTCGAGAGGACGCGTAGTCCTATCCGTCGTACTCATGCGGTGCTCTGAATACGCTGCACAGCACCGTATTCACGCCCTCATGTCGGCGTGTTCAGCACGTAGGCTGCGCTGGGCTACTTCAAGGACGTGCCGCTCCTCGAGAAGCACGAGGCGGAGGAGGCGGAGAGGAGGCAGCTCATCCTCTCGTGGTGAACTCGTGGTTAACTCGTGGTTCACTATTTAGGCGGAGAGGATGCAGCTCTCCGCGGCGCAGCTCTCCAACTGGCTGCTCGAGGCGCTGCCCGAGGCGCCGTCGGTGGACAAGGCCGACCGCTGCTTCCGCCTCTTCGACCTCAAGTCGCTGCGAGTCGGCTCGCTCGAGCAGTCTAGCTCCCCGCCGCTCTTCGGATCGCTCGCCGAGTGGTTCGACGCGCAGCGCGCGCTCTACGCGACCAAGGTGCCGTCGGAGGCGGTGCAGGTGCTGCTGCGCGTCTTCCTCGAGCCGCAGCAGGCGCTGCGCCTCGGGCTGCACCACGCCTCCTTCTCCATCGACTGGATGAGCGTCAGCGAGGAGGCGGCCGCCGAGCCCATCTCGGGCGCGCTGCTCCGCCGGCTCGGGATGGCGTCGCGCCGGCCCCGCCGCATGCTCCTGGTCGTCATGTACAAGGCGGAGCGCTCGCGCATCACGCAGGTGTGGGCGGAGATGGACCGCGAGGGCCTCGCCCTCAAGAAGGGCGCGCAGCTCGACGACGTGCTCGTCTCGGACTGCTTCGACCGCGCGCTCAACGCCGCGCGCCGCGCCGGCGCGACGGGCGAGCTCAACCCGATCTTCACCAACTATCACTCGGTTCCAGTGATCGGGTGAAACACGAGGTTGCCCCATAGCCTCTACCTCTATTACGTATTAGTCGCCTTTGCTGAGATCTGAGGTTTTCATTTTTTACATGTGCATGTGGGATAAGCAACACACCAAACAACAAATCAAACACTCCGTCACTTCACTTGGGCCCTGGAGCCCTGGGCGTGGCACGACTACAGAGAGCGAGATGAGCCGAGTCATGAGACCAGACTCCACTCTATCCAGATAGATCGCACGAGAGGGTACGCAGCCCTTGGGGCGAAGCGCCGCAGCGGATGCCGCGGCGCCGCACACCTCGCAGAGCGGGCAGAGGCGTGCGGCGCGGCGCGGCTGCTGCGTGGACCGCGTCGATCGCGGGCGCCCGCTGCCCTGGTCAGGCGGCGACGCCGACGACCGACTCGTCGGAGCCGGACCACCGGCAGTAGAGCTCGGGCTTTGACATTTCAAGCTGGCCAAGCCACTCGGTGTGCCTCTTCCGACAGTGCTTGCGGACGGCATCCGTCGAGGCATAAAACTTGCCGCAACCTGTGCGGCGATGGCGGGTCGGAGAGGCGGGTGTGGGTGGCGGAGCGAGGGGGCGGCGGCGGCGGGTGAGGCGGCGCGGGCTGCGCGGCGACGGACAGGCAGGAGACGGGCGCGCGGCGGCAGTGACGAGGGGGGAGTCGAGAGGACTTTCAGAGGGCGGAGCGCACCCGGATACCGGCACTGGAAGCGCGAGCTGTCGCGCCTGCAAGCAGGTTCCGAGAAGGCTACGAGAAGGCTCCGAGAAGGTTCTCGTGCACGAGAGGAGCGAGGGGGGCGGGTCGCCTCTGCACCCGCGGCGCCTTGGCGGGCGGCGCCTCGCCGTCGCAAGCCTCCGCCGATCGCCGAGCCTCGGCCGCCCGCCCGGAGCTCTTCCGCGAACGCTTGCCGCCGCCCTCGAGCGTGTCGCCGCGGCGGCGCTTCGCCCCCGTCTCAAATCTGTCTGCAGCCGGCGGTGGCGAGGCGAGGGCAGACGGCTGTAGCTTGAGGTACTTGCGCTGCACGCACGCCTCCTTGTCGCCGTCCGCGTACTGGGGGAGGGGACGGCGGAGGCGAGGGTGGGAGAGGACAAGGGAGGGGGGGGGTGCGGGACTAGGTGCGTCGTAGCGGTGTGTCTCTCGCCTCGACCGCAAACGTGCCGTCCCGGTTGGCGCGGGTGACGACCCCGTCGAACCAGCGCGTGCCGGCCGGGCCGTGCGCGGAGGCGCCGAAGCGGGCCTTGACCGAGGAGCCCACCGCCACCTCGTCGGAGGCGGACGGCTCCGGAGCGCTCGCGGCCAGCGCCAGGTTCGCCGCCAGCGGCGCCGTCGGCTGTGCCGCTGGCTGTGCGTCGATGTAGTCCCACTCCCAGTCCTCGGCCTCCAGCAAGTGGCGCTGCGTTTCGCCGTCGTCGTACCGGACCGTCTGCCCGTCTGCAGCAGAGCTGCTGACCACGCGCCCTCTGAACCAGCGCTCCTCAGCGGGCCAATAGACGCGAATCCGCCGGCCCGGCAGCGGCGGCGGCGGCTCCACGCCGTCCCCCTCGCCGCGCTTGACCGCCGGCACCGGCTCCGATCCCGGTGGCGCCACCGCCACCGGCCTCGGCAGCGTGCCGGCAGCCGCGAGCCCACTCCTCGTGCCGGCAACCGCCAAAGCCCGCCCGCCCGCGCCCTTTGCCCGCGGCGCCTCTCTCGCCTTGGCCGACGGGACGCGCACCCGCCGCTTCCTGGAGCCGGCGGCGCCCTCTCCATCGAGCTCTGCGGCCGCCTCCGCCTCCGCCTCCTCCGCCGGCGCCGCCCTCGACACCACCACGTCCACCTCGACCGCCGAGTCCTCGCCGCCCGAGCCCTCGCCGCCCGCGGCTGAGCGGTCTCCCTCGGCCACCGCCGCTGCCGCTGCCGCCACAACCACGAGCGGAGGCGGTGAGGACTCGGCGTTTGCTCCGGCTCGGCATTTGCTCCGGCGCGCCGCCGCCGCAGCGGCAGCCGAGCGGGCGGCCGCCGCCGCCGCGGCAGCCGAGCGGGCGGCCTCGGCCGCCGCGGCGACGGTGCGGTGCGCCTCTCCGGCCGGGCTGACATACAGCCACGCCGCCGCCTCGAGGGAGGCGGGGTCGCACCTCTCCCGAATGCGCCACCCGGCGGCGTGCGCGCCCGCCCAGAGCTGCTCGTCAACCAGCTCAACCAGCTCTCCGCCAGGCAAGCGAGTCCAGACGCCGGCCCGTGGCGGCCTGAACAACTCGCCGCGCTGTGGAAAGGTCCAGACGCCGGATTTGATGCTTGACGCGGCGGCCCAAACACTGGTCGTCGGCCCGCTCGCCGGCCCGCTCGCCCACGCATCAGCGTCCCCGGCCTCGCGTGCAGCCGCCACCAGGGCCGAGAGGGGGGAGTGGACGGCACTGGGTTTGGCCACGGTCGACGCTAGAGGCTGCGCCGGCTCGGCCTCACGCTCCGCCGGCGGCTCGGCCTCACGCTCCGCTGCAGCCCAAGCCTCAGTCCAAGCCTCACGTGCCTCAGGCCAAGCCTCACGTTCCGCTGCAGCCCACCAAGCCAACGCCGCCAGTCCTGGAGAGGGCGCGTGGCGGGATTTGACGGGCGTGTTGAGGACGGCTTGAAGCGCCGCGTGCTCCGAGAGCAAATCGAGCCAATTTGCTTCCATGTGGCGGACCGTTTTGCAGATACTGTCTGATCGCCAGCTTGTGGGCAAGCCTGCTAGCTAGCTGGCAGAGGCCCAAGGCGGGAGAGGTTGTTCCGGTCACTTGTCAGCCGGTGAACTCATTTTTCTTTTTTCTTCTGCTGCTGCTGCCCGGCTCGCCAAACCGAGTGGGAGTGGTGTGACTGCTCCCAGTGCAATGGGTGCCGCCTCCTCCTCCCCGACGCCTCCGTCGTCTGCCGACGCGGACGCGGCAGCAAGCGCTGCCGCGATACGCCGCCGCGCCTCGGCGCGCATCCAGGAGGAGCGCCGCCGCTCGGAGGACATGGAGCGCCGAGTGTGGGGCCTCTTGGCAGACAAAGAGGATCTCGAGGCGGAGAAAAGGCGGCTGATGCAGGGTGGCGCCGCAGCGGCCGTGGCGGCGGCCGCGCTCGGCGCCGGAGCGCTCGCGTTGCTGCAGCGCCGCCACGCGTCTGCGATGGCCGCCCTGCGCATCGCCGCGACCGAGGCGGGCAGACGCCCGAGACGCTCTTGCACTCGCGCGCCTCGACACGGCCCTCGTCCTCCCGCCGCTCGCAGGCGCAGCAGCGGCACACCTCGGAGCTCGAGCGGATGCGGCGGTTCGGCGCGGAGCCTCTCGCCCGCTCGCTCGTGCCGGTGACATTGCAGGACACTTCCGAGACACTTCCGAGGCACTTTCCGAGGCGCTTCCCGACACCACCTCCCCACAACCACCTTCCCGACCCTCTCAGCGCCTTCTTCCAGACGCCTCCTAGCGTCCCGGCTCGGTCAAGGACACCGGATCCGGAAGGTCCAGGTCCCTCCCCCACCAACTGCCGTCCGTCCCGCACCCGAGTTTTAGCCATACCATTGTTCTGTGTGTCGCGCCTGTGCCGCGCCAGGTGTGCGACAACCTGCAAGCGCTCTGCGGCTCGCTCGAGGGCAGCGAGGTGCCGGCCGCGCTGCTCGAGGGGGCGGTGCTCACGCGCGAGAGCATGCAGGCCGCGCTGGAGAGGCGTTGAGAGAGGGAGGCGCGACACGGGCGGCAAAAACGCCTCTTCACAGCGGCGAGCCGTGAACAGGCACGGCGTAGAGCGGCATGACCCGCCCGCGGGCGCCAGGTTCGACCCGTCGCTGCACGAGGCGATGTTCACCGCGCCGCTCTCCGACGGTGCCGCGCCGGGGACGGTGAGACGGAGCCGAGACGCAGCCGAGACGCAGCCGAGACGGAGCCGAGATGCAGCCGAGATGCAGCCGAGACGGAGCCGAGATCTAGCCGACGGCGCTGGCGAGGAGGAGGAGGGGTCTGAGGAGGAGGCGTGTAAGCCGCCGCCTCCCTAGCGAGCGGTGAGGAGAGGGCTTCGCCGGGCCGGCCGGCAGAGATTGAGCCGTTGAGCCGGCCCCTCGCCCACCACTCTCCATTCACACTCGCCACCAGCTCCAAGGGGGCATTGTCGAAGGGGATGTCTTCCCCGGTCCATGAGGTGATGGCCATCCCCTTATTCCGGCTTGAGCAGATCCGTTGCGCTGTCCAGTGTGGTCTTGTGTGGTCTTGAGCCGTTGAGCCGGCCCCTCGTCCACGGCGGGAGATGTGGGGAGATATGGGGAGATGTGGGGAGATATCAGCTCGCGCACGTTCCTCTGCCACACATCCATGCGGTACTCCTGCTCCACGAGCGCGATCGGCACGCCCGGGCAGGTGTCGTCCGTCTTTCGGCCCGGCTACACGCTGCACGGGAGCCACATTCTACGCGCGGCGCAGGTCGGCTTGCACATGCACACAGTACTTACAGTACACACGTACAGACATTGCATACACACACTCTACGCGCGGCGCAGGGCGTTAGGCGAGGACGCGTCCATGACACATCGCAGACATGTCCCGGACATGTCCCTCTACGCGCGGCGCAGGTCGGCGTCTTCGTGGGCGAGGCGCAGCAGCAGCCGCCGCCAGACGCGGACGCGGAGGGGGAGGGGGAGGCCGCGGCGGCCGCGGCGGCCGCGGCGGCGGGTGGCGCAGGCGCGGCCGAGGCGCCCCCGTCGGCTCACGCGACCAAGTACTGCGACCGGCGCACGAAGTACTGCGACCGCGGCGGGGACGAGTTCGACCGCATGGTAGAGGAGATGGCTCGCCGGCGCAAGGCGGTGCCGGTGCCGCCCTCTTCCGAGGCGGCGCCGCCGGAGGCAGCGCCCGCACGCCCTTCTGGGCAGGGCCCTTCCGACGAGCAGGCGCGCGCGCGCCATCGAGGGCGGCGCTCTCTCGGACGCCTCCGGGAGCCGCCTCGGAGCTTTCTCATAGGCTCGCGGGCGCGCCATCGAGGGGGCTCTCTCCAGCCTCAGCATCCCCCACCTCGAGGGGCGAGGCGCGGGCAGGGAGGGGAGCGGCGCCGAGGCGGAGGCGCTTGCGGCGGCCGCAGCCGAGGAGGTGCGCGCTGGGGTCGAGACGGACCGAGTAGGGGCCTGGCAAGGGCGGGTTGGCACCGCTGCCCCCCCAACCCCCTCCCCCCCTCCCTCCCCTCCCCTCCCTCGCCAGGCGCCCCGCGCCTCGCTCCGGCCAGACCAGCTCCACGAGCTTCTTGTCCTGCACGTGCGCCGCTCCGCCAGCCCCTCTTGCCCCTCCTCCACCCCTCCCCCACCCATCCACCGCCCTCCACTTCCCTCCACTTCCCTCCACCGCCCTCCCCCACCCCTCCACCGCCCTCCACCGCCCTCCACTTCCCTCCACTTCCCTCCACTTCCCTCCACCGCCCACCCACCGCCCTCCACCGCCCTCCACTTCCCTCCACGAAAGCAGGCGCGCCGCCCGGCACAGTGGGGCGCTGCGGCGCTGGCCGCGCGCTTCGGCGTGGGCGAGGAGGCGGTGGCCGACACACTCAGGCGCCCCCGGCCCGCCTCTCCCTGCCCACGGCGACGCTTGTGGCCACCGAGCAGGGGCTGGGGGAGAGCCCGCCCCTCCCGATCGCACGGCATCGCCGCCGCCCGCAGGCATTGCGCCGCCTACCGCGTCGTGGACGCGTCTGAGGAGGACTCGTGGATGGGGGTGGCGGTGCCCATCCTTCCCGACGACGCCGACGCCGACGCCGACGCCGACGCGCCGTGACGCCACCCCCGGGCCCCGCGAGCGTTTGTCCGGAGGGCCCCCGCTGACGCCATCGTGCATCGGACTCCGCCGATTGTTTGTCAGCTCAGAGACCTACGGTCCGGATCGTAGACCGTCCACACGGATCGCACGCAGTGGCTCCGTGCCGCGCGCCGGAGTACAGGAACAGGTCTAACACCTACGGACTCGGGCACGTGGGACGTGGACCTGCAAGTCATGTAAGGTAAGGTAAGGTAAGGAAAAGGGGAAGGACCCTGAGTTGAACACAGGGGTCTTGTGCGCCAAGCCCTCCTGCTCGGCTCCAGCGAGTAGACAAGTGTTACCATCAACAGAGGAGACGGATACTGTATGACCTCAGGGCGGATGTAACCAAGCGCTGTGGTAGCGTTCTAGCGAAAACTAGCGTGGTTTTACCTCACACCCATGGTCTCACAGTGTGCCGGCAGTCGCCGCGCAGTGTCGCTCACACAAGCCGCAGCACAAGTGACTGAGGGCCAGTGAGGGCGAGCCCATCGCTGTGACAGCTGTGGCAGCCGCACAATAGGCTGTGCCAACTGCGCAGAGCGTGTGAGCAGCAGAGGAGCTTCACTCCAGGCTTCAGGCGCAAAGAGCTGCATGCCACCGAAGGCGCTGTCGAGGTTCGCCGAGCGTGGCGCAGGTTGGAGGACACCGTCACCGACGAGCGCGTTGGACCTTTCACTCCGGACAAAGACAGTGGCACGCACACGAGCTGCGGTCGTGTGGCCGTCATAGCGGCGAGGCGCGGGACCGTCTGTGGCTAGGTGGTCGCGTCCTCCGATTTCCGTCAACTCATGTGCTTAGTAGCCCCGGGACGGGGGGGGGGCGGGCCTCACCCGGGACTCACCCCGAGACCCCACCCCGGGACGCGCCGGCTGCGGGTGAGGCCCCACCCCCGGGGCAGTGAGGGGCAGGGGCGGGGCGGAGCTCCTCAGAGTGAGGCGCCCCGGGTGCCCCCCCACCCCCCACCCCGCCCCCCGGGCACCCGACCCGCCCTCAGCTCTCAGCTCCCCACCACGCAAGGACCAAGGTGCAGCGGACCGACCTGGTGGGCAAGCGGATGATGAAGACCTTTGGCGGCCATGGCACCTTCGTCGGAGATATCGTCTCTTACGACCCGGAGACGGGATGTTACCAGCAGGTCACCTATGAGGACGGCGACAAGGAGGGCCTCTCGCGAGCCTCTGTCCAGGCTGGCGTGCGGCGATTCCAGGCCCAGGCAAAGTGATGCGATCCGTCTCGCCGAGGCGCGCTTTTAGATGTTAGAGACTTTGTGCGTTTGGTAGGGTGCCCACAGGGCCCAAAAAAAGAAAGGAAAAAGAAATGGGCCACCCCCGATATCGCAGCACTTCGTGTTGGCCAGTCGAGAAATTGAGAGTGTGACTAGGAGGGTGGGACGCTGGGGATTCTCAAAGGTATACCCTTGGAGTGCAGCGGCCGCCGGCGGCCGTACCGCCCGCCAGCCGGCGCAGCAGCGGCCAGCGCAGCGGCCGCCGGCGCAGCAGCCAGAGCAGCCGGTGCGCGCCTTGCGAGCGAGTACTGCCGCCCGGCAGCCTTGAGGCGGCCGGGCGGCAGTACTCGTTCGAACTTTGCGAGCCGTGCGCGCGCCGAGGCGCCCGCGGCGCGCGCCCGCCCGGCTGCCAGTAGGAGGCGGCGCAATATGGCCTATAGTACAGCCCTTGAGGAGGAGGAAGAGGCTGGCTGGCAGTGCTGTATGCCGCCGGGGGCAGTTTTTGGGTGCTGTCCCCATCCCAGGGGGCTGCAGAAGGCGTCCGCAGCCGGGACAACCCGCCCCCCCAGCCGAGGCCGGTCGAAGCCCACTTGAGTGCAGCCATGAGGAGTCCTCTTGGTGCTCCTGGCGGCCGTTGGAATGGCGAGCGCGCGCCGATGGGGGGGGGGGGGGGTCTTGCTTGCTCCACACCGAGCGCCATCGGTCCGGACCGGTGCGCTCACCGAGGGGTGGCCTGCACAAGGTCTGAGCCGCGGGCGCTCGGCGCCAAGTGCAGTGTCACGCTCGCGCTGGAGCGGGACACAATGGGAAACCCTCGTTTCCTATTCACTCGGTCCCCCAACGGAAGAGGCCTCGCTCCTATTGGAACTGGCCAACATCAGATTTGCCTCGTGCGTCCCTTTTTGAGTCGGAAAGCTATTTTCTTTTGGGTCCTGTGGGCACCCTACGTTTGGAGCAGTGCGGACTGTCTGTGCAGAGCAGAGTGCTGGGGTCTCACCCGTTTAGTTGATTTGTAGTATTGTTCTGTGTGAGGGGTGGTGCCGCACAGGCCGCTCTCCCTCGCCTCGGCGGTGTGCGGGTGGTGCCGCGGCGTGGCGCGGGCCGGGGGCGCGCGGTAGGCGTACGGACGGGGCCGCGTGCGCGTGGCCCGCCCGTGGTGCCCCTGGCTGGGTCGCGCATCGCGAGTGAGGCCCCGGGGTGGGGCAGGTGAGGGAGGGGGCGGGGATGGCCGGGCCCCGGTGAGCCCCGGGTGAGGCCCGACCCCCCCCCGTCCCGGGGCTACTGTGATCCGCACATCACGGTCCTTCCCCCGTAATGGCTAATGCGTAAACTTCTCCACACACACACATGAAGGTGGTGGGGCAAGGGGGGGCACCCTCGCGCGTCTCTCCACGTCTAAAAAACGACAGGTCACAGGAGCCCCACGGCATTATCCATTAAAAGAAAAAGTGCAAAGCCCAGTGCGCGCGTGGGTGAGCGCGGTGAGCGGTGTGTGTAGCGACTAGCGTGTGTGTGTGTGATGTGACCGAGGACTCACGTGACTCGGCTTACAAGGGCGTGGCGGACTACTGACCGCCGTCGCCCGCAGGCACGCGAGGGGTGGTTCCCGCGTTCCCCGGACCCCGCGCGCCTCGCGAGAGCCACCACTAAGCCACCACTAAGCCACCACTAAGCCACCACTAAGCCACGCCAAGCACCTCAAGCTCATGCAACGCTTTTTCTTTTATTTCCCTTTTTCGCTGCCCACCAGCAGGGCGGCCCGCCGAACCAGTACCGTCAACTTGGCTCCGCGGTCCGTGTGCACTACGCTGCGGCAACACTCCAACTCCTTGCCGCTGACAGGTCCACGACATGCAATAGAACGACTGCAGCTGAAGTTGCTCGGTGCGCCTTCAACAGGCTTCAACAGGAACCGCCATATCTTTCAAGCATTTCGGGTGACATGGCTGGCGGCGGGTGGCAAGGCAGCGGCTCAGCAACGCGGCTGCAGGTGACACAGGGGTACTTGCGCAGCTTGCCGCCGCCGCAGCAGGCGTATTGATAGTATGCGAGGGTGCCGCGCTCGTCGTCGATGAGCATCATCTCGCCAAGTTGGACTGGTGACTGTTCCCCGTGCTTTCCGTCGCCGCTTCTCGCATAATAGATGTTGTCGTGGAAGTCGCCCAAAACGCAGCAGCCACACCCGGGCACCGGCAAGAGCATCGGGACCGGCAGGCACGTCGGAAAGCAGTAGCAATCGTCGCAGTAAGTTAATTCCCCTTCATCCGGGAAGAATGGGAAGAAGTTGTACGTGCACGCGACAGGGATCTGACATCGGCCGAGCTTGACGCAGAAGAAGCCCCTGAGGCGGATGTCCGTTTCACGCTTGAAGTTGTCAAGCCCGTTGGCATACGGTTTGGCCTGCTGCTGTCCGTGGAGGGTGCCGCCGCGCCTCACGATCTCCACAAGGGCCGCTCGGTCGATAGTATTCGGCGTCGGCGCCTTCACCGCGGCGTCACCACCCATGTAGGGCAGTTGTTGTTGTAGGCGCTCCTGCGCAACGCAGGCAGAAGAATTGAAAGGCGGCAAAAACACCACCATATTACATATTATATTCACACCTCATAAATTGAGTGCGTGGGTCGAGAGTTAAGGTTCCCCATGCCAGTTTCGGGGGCAAACCCTGCCCGCCCCCTAGGACCCCGGGTAAGGCCCAGGTGTGGCCTAGCCCTAGGGTAGGTATCAGTCAGAAGGGACCAACCAAGAGGAGTCCAGTCTGAGCCATAGAGCCCATGTCTTCGCCCCCAAGGTCGCGTTCAAATGCCCGGAACGGCCGTTACAGTGGTGTCCGCTGTCCGGCCGGCGCGATCACCGAGCTGTGACGCTCAGGGAAGCCCGATGAGGTGCTGGTTTCTTTGGCCAGGGCTGGCCTTCCCCCCAGGCTGGATCAGCTGAGCAAGGTTTGGGGAGAATCCTATAGACAGATCTTCAGTTTTTTTGACGGATGCCCGAAAATGGGCAAAAACGGGTGAATGAATGAGTGGAGCGCCATGCGGCAGTGCGGACACTATGTGCGCGAATTTAACGCCATTTCGATTCCGTGGTTTTGGCACTGTCTACCAACTTTGGTACAAATTGACTTGGTCTCACAGCTGAGCCCTGCGCTGCGCTGCCTCCATTCTGAAGTAATAGGACGACGATTACCTCATCAGACTTTTCGGGGTCGGGACCGCTCGGGACCGCTCGGACACTTTCGAACATTGCTACTCCGTTGTGACCGTGCATGCATCCAGGAGTGCCAGAGACCCTTAGACACCATTGGGAGGCTAGCAGCGTGTTTCTTGTAATGACCATCATCCTGAAAGTAATAGGACGCGCTGGAGGTCATCAGACTTTTCGGCGCGAGTTTGGGGCTGCACACTCGCACACTCAACCAATGGTCCAACTAGCCAGGCGCGGGTCGCGTCGTTCGAGCCTCGCTTGGCTCACCGGATCGCTCCTGCCCGGAGGCCCGCCGCCGGCCGCGACGACTGGTCCTGACCCGGACGACCCGGACGAATCCTGCCCCGTGTGCCTCGAGCCGCTGCAGACCAGCGCGCGATTGCAGCGACCCCGCGACTTTGCCTGCTCGCACGCCGTGTGCGAGTCGTGCTCTGTTCAGCTGGCTCGGAGAGCCCTCCCGTGCCCGCTCTGCCGCGCCAGCCGCCTTGACGGCGGGAAATGCGCCCAGCGGACGCTCCCGTACTCGTCCAACGTCGGCAAGCTTCTCTTCCTCGCCGTAACGCCCGACGTGCCGCTCGCCGACCGGCGCGCGATGCTGTCCGCGCTGGCCGAGTCCTCTGCCGCACCCACCGACGACGTGCTGAGGAGGCTTAACGCGCGGATCGCCGCCGCGGTCTCACGCATCCCGAACCGCTCTCCGTCGGTCGCGGTGCTGCCGAGCGACGCGTGCTGCTGGCGCGTGCTGGGCCTGCTCGCCGGCGTCGACTTCTTCTCTCCCTCGGGCGCTGCCGCGAACCAGGCGTCGCTCTCGGAGGAGCAGCAGGTCAGCCTGGCAGCCGCAACCTTCACGGCGATGGAGGGCGGCGCGACGGAGGTCTGGCTCGAGGCGCTCGCGCGCGCCTCGGCCTCTGTGTCGGCGGCTGCGGCATGAGGGGAAGGGGGGAGGGGGGGAGGGGGGGGGGGGGGAGTGAGCTCATGTCCATTGTGTGTGCATCCTCCAACGTGTGCCGCGAGCCACGTGCCGCGTAATGAGCGAGCGCAACTCTGCAGGCAGCAGGGGCACAGTCCACAAATATGTACAAACTACAATTATGTAACTGTAATAAGAGTACAGAGTGCTCACTACTAGGAGATCATGGTTTAAAAAGGAGCAACTCCCCGCCCGCACGCACAGCAACGACAATCCGAGAACTCACTCTTTTTTACTCTCCGACGACAGTCCCCCTGGGCCCGTCCACAAGCACAACGAAACTCTTGCTCAACTCTCTCAAAACACAACAACCCCCTCTAGCTCTAGCTCGGCCCAGAGAGGGCCGGGTAGGAGGGGTCTAGGTTACCTCTACCTCTGAGGGCCTGCGCAAACCTCTTACCTTTACCTCTGCTCTGGGCAGCCGTGGGCCCTTTGCCTCTACCTCTGAAGTAGCCGTGATTTACCTCTGTGCGTGATCTCGAGTGGGGGATCTCGAGTGATCTCGAGTGATCTCGATGTGATCTCGATACTAAAAAGTTAACGATAGCGAGCATCTGCGATTTTCACTCGCCGGCCCACGCCGGCTCGTGGAGAAGGAAAAATAAAATGCGCTGACGCACGAGTGTTTCTGAGATCAGCTTAGGTGAGTGGCAGACATTTCAAAAAATGGGCGCCGCCAGGCGCCCCGCGCTGCGTGCCCACCATGGCGGTTGGGCGCGCAGCGAGGAAAATTTTGATGTCGACAGCGTTTTCTGAACTGTCTGCGTCAATGCAGCAACCCATCGAGCGCGTCACTATGACCTGACCCCTCTGATAACCGACGCCGTCTACCGGGGACGGACGGGCGGGGAAGGACCCTGAGTTGCACAGGGGTTGTGCGCCAGGCCCTCCAGCGAGTAGACAAGTCTTGTCATCAACAGAGTAGGAGGATCTGACCTCGGGGCCGATGTGACCAAGCGCCGGTAGCGTGGTTTTACCTGACACCCACATGGTCTCACAGACAGTGTGCCGGCAGTGCCGAGCAGTGTCGCTCACACAAGCTGCAGCACAAGTGACGGCCACGCAAAAAGAAAACACGTGCGGGGCTCAGGATTAAGGATAGGGCATCGCAACTCACCTCACTTGAGCACTTGAGCACTTGATATAGGGTCGATTCCGCATGGTACGGCTACGGGACCCATAAGCACTTACGAGCCGTCAACCCTCCGTCCAACATTCTGCTCCGCTAAAATACATTTTTAGTGGTTAGTGCGCAAGGTGAAGATGCGGGTCTTTCACGCCATTCGCAGTTTGGGCAAGCGTCCCCAAAGCTCCCGAGGCTGCTGCCAGCCAGCACGGAGAGCATGAGCGATCTCGCTTGCCTTCCGCTCGTAAGTATCAGCTGCGTGTCCTGCATCTGGTACTCTCCCACCTGGAAGAGGTGCTGCACGGCTTCGTCGTCGCGTCGCGAAGCTCGGCCATCGTCCGCCGGCTCGCCACCTCGCTCGCCCTCTCGCTCGCCGCCCGCTGCGCCGCCTCACTCTGCCCGTGCGACGCGCACTCCCGCGCCGCCTGAGGCGGCCCGCCACCCGGCCGGCGGCTCCTGCCGCGTCCTTCATCCCGCCGCCGCCGCCGTCGAACAGCGACATCACCTGGTTGGTCAGGAGGTCACCAGCCGCCAGGGTACTGCCTCGCGTCGTCCGGCATCACCGGCCAGATCTCGCGCCAGACGTGGTTCTTCATGTGCTGCAGCGCGACGTAGACCGTGTTCTCGCCGCGACCGTGCGCACCGTCGGCTCCTCGTCCCGCGCGTCGCCCCGCTCGGTCGCTTCGCGTGCCACCGGCTCGCCCTCGGCGCGGTAATTCGCGTCGTCGCCAGCCACTTGCCGAAGCGGATCGTCCCCACTGCATCGTTGGGTGCAGACCGAGGGCCGTCCGCTGCATCGGCACGCTCTTCCCCGCCGCGGCCTGCGTCGCCAGGAACTCGCGCAGCCGAGGCGCACGCGCCGAAGCTGCACCGACAGCGCCGGCCCGTGGGGCGCTAGCATCGGCCGCCCATCGCCGCGCGCGGCCTCCTCCTGCTGCTCGTCATCCTCCGCCTCGAGGGCGTCCGCCAGCGCGCTGCGCCGCACACCCCGCCGCACAGGAGGCGGCGCCGGCCGCACCTCGGGCGCCGCTCGGCGTCGCCCGCGGCACGGGCGCCCTGCTCGCCGTCCGAGCGTTGACTCGCCACTCCACGACCTCCACAACCCTCCACGACCCTCCACAACCCACTCTCGCTGCCCCAAACCTAAATCCTCTCTCTACGGCTTAGCATTCCCGTAGAGCTAGAGGTGGGCAGGTGCGTGCTGGTTTATATTTACGTACTGCTGACACTCTGCGTAGGATGGGGCGGTGACCGGCGTGTTTCTGTTACTACGTACGATTTAAATACTGATCGGCTAGGGGCCAGGGCACGCTCCTTACTCAATACTACACATAACCATTCGACTTTTCTCATTGACAGATATATCAGATTATCTCATATCGATCTCTCGGGGGTGCGTGGTCACACTCGAACCTCACCAGATCAGTTCACCAACCGCAACCCACGCTCAGCTGCAAAACCGCGCGGGCGCGCCACCTTCGACGCGCGCATCCGCCCTTGCATGCGCATGCTCTCCGAGCGCAGCATGCGGAAGGCGCGCGAGGTGGGGCGCTGCCGCAGCATCCACTCCATCTCCTCTTGCGTCCGCGGCAGCGTCCGGCCCGCAAGCCTACCGCGGGGGGAGGGGGCTGTCAAGTAGCAGCAAAGGAGAGTGACGCCAGAGGAGGGGGTGCTGGTGCGGCATCTTGGGGGGGTGGCCGCGCCTCTCGCGTCGCAAAAACTCGTGCTGGATGAGCGACCACCTATTCGCACCGCGCAGTGCGTGGAGAGACGCGGGGCGCGCAGTCGCTCGGGGACGGGGCCGGCCACCCGGACTGCAATCTCGGCTCATCTCGGCTAGTCTCGGCTAGTCTCGGCACTCGAACTGCATGAGGACCGACTTGATCGGAGCGTCGCTCGAGAGGCCGACCTAGCGACAAGCTCGGCGGGTCTCGGCTTGTTCGACCTCCCCGGAGCACCGCGCCGCTCGAGGAGCACCGCGTGAACAGGGGTGTGTGAACAGGGGGGTGTGAACAGGGGGGTGTGAACAGGGGGGTGTGAACAGGGTGTGTGTGAACAGGAGGAGAAATGAACAGGGGGGTGTGAACAGGGGGGTGTGAACAGGGGGGGGTGTGAACAGAGGGGGCGTGAAGGGATGTGCGAGAGACGGCGGGGTGTGGGTGCGGTGCGGGGGAGGGGGCGGGGGAGGGGGCTGGGGAGGGGGCGGGGGCTTGCCTGCCCGACGATGCGCTCCTTGGCGGCGCGCGAGGCCTTGACGAGCACGAGCGGGTTGCGCGCCTGCGAGTCGGGCGCAGAGGCGGGGCAGGGGAGTCCTCGCCACGGTAGAGCGGACAAGGGGGGGCGTCGCCTTACTCTGATGGAGGCGCGTCTCGAGGGAAGAGTGCGCGAGGTGTCGTCCAGCCGGTGCCTCTCTCTCTCTCTCTCCCTGTCCCTCTCTCTCTCCCTGTCCCTGTCCCTCTCCCTCTCTCTCTCTCTCTCTCTCTCTCTCTCTCTCTCTCTCTCTCTCGCTCTCTCTCTCTCCTCTCTCTCGGTGTCTCTGCGCGCAGACGTCTGGTGGACGGCCTCTGCGGGCCAGACCTCTGCGGGAGTCATCGCGCGTGTCCATATGGGGGAGAGATGGGGGAGAGATGGGGGAGAGATGGGGGAGAGATGGGAAGAGCCTCCGCGGGTGTCATCGCGTCGAGGATGGCGAGCGAGGTGCGGAGCTCCGCCTAGTGGCGGGTAGTGAGCTGGG